AATGTAGAAGCCACCAAGTTAAATCCAAATATAACAGTATTGACCCCCCCCCCCGCAACCAGCTGGTAAGATTTGCCAGCAGGGGTGGTTGATTGAATCCATGTGGAGTTATTTTATGGCATGGTTATTCTGGGGGGATGAGACCAGTACAAACAGGGATGTCTTTTAGCATCCTGGGAAATGGAGTCTAAAATCACCAGCTGTCACAAGTTCAAAGCTGGCCCCTTCCAGCAGCAGCACCTCCCATCAGTGTAGGAGGCAGGATAGAGTCAATAAAGAGATGGTTGCTCATGTATTGCCCCTAACATGCAGATGAGCACCATTTTGACATGCCTGTTAGTGGGATTCTAGAGGTGCTGTTTTGATGTGGGTTGAGAGGGCAGTGTGGATGCCATTTTGACATGTTTTTTTATGGGGAGACCATGGGTGCTATTTTGAGATGCAGTTGGGTTCAGTGTGCCATATTGATGTGGCTTTTATGGGGAACCTGTGGGGGTGCCATTTTGATAGGGGTTGAGAGGTGGGATGTTGGGTCTCTTTTTGACAGTTCTTATTGGAATCTCATTGGTATCATTTTGAGATGGGTTGGAGGTGGCATATGGGTGCCAGTTTGACTTGGCTTTTTGTGGGGGAAGCCTTGGGTACCACTTTGAAAAATGTTGCAGTGGGTACCATTTTGACATGCCTTTATGGGGAAACAGTGTATGCCATTTTGATGCAGGTCAGGGAGCGGACGTGTTAGTGTCATTTTCACGTGGATCAGGAGCGGGCGCGTGGCTGCCCTGTTGAAATGGGTCGGGCAGGTGGGTGCCCTGGTGACATGAGTCAGGGAGAGGGCACGTGGGTGCCCTGGTGACGTAGGTCAGGGAGTGGGCGCTCGGGTGCACCAGTGGCGTGGGGCGGGCAGCGGGGGGGGGGGCCCTGGTGACGGGGGGCGGGGAGCCGGGGGGGGTGCCCTGGTGACGTGGGGCCTGGGTGCTAGCTCAGCAGCAGCACGCGGGTCTGCCTGGGCTTGTCGGCAGGGAAGGCGGCGCTGCGGTCGCTCACTCCCCCATGTCATGGCCCCCTCCCCCTACAGTGGCTGTGCAGAGAAGCCGGGGAGGGACTTTCGGACCAAACCATTTCCGCAGAAGGGGATTGTTTTGTGTAAACAGCAAGCTGAGACCCTTTGGGGCGCATTTTGGGATACCAGCCTCTAGTCAAAATATTTTGTAGCGAATTTTTGTCTTTATCCCTCAAGAGCTAGATGGATTTTGCGCCACCTCACCTCCTAGTCCTTTCCCCCTTTCTCTATAATGGTACGTCCCACGCTCCTTCCCCGCTCTCCCATCAAACAGGGCACCAAAGCAGGGCGGGCGGCGCGAGACGCTTTGGGACGCTGAAGGGAGAAGCTTTTGCGCGCCGCAACCGTTGGCGGGTGCGAGCGGGAGGGAGTGGGGGCGACGCTGGAATGCTCCTCGGCGAGGGGAGGGGGAAGCGCACGGAAGCAGCGGCGCATGCGCAGATACGGATTTACTCGCCAGAGGCGGTTGCTAATTTTCCCGCCCTTTCCCTGCCCCAACGATTTTTTTTAACCGCTGCGTGGTTTAAAAAAGCCGGTTCAATGAGCGAGTAGCCCCCACATTATTTTGTGGGGTACTAGCTCCTCCCCACACCCCGTGTCAGTCTTGCCTGCCAAATATAAACGTGTGTCAAATTCACCTCGCAGGGCACGAAGGTACAGCCGCTATTTTATAAAATGGGGCCGTTTGTGACTCAGTGGCCCTGTCAGAGCCAATGGGGCAACCCCCCTCCACCCTATACACACACACGCGCACTTCTAAAAACGACAATGGGGTGCCCACTGATCCCACATTGGCTTATATCAAAGCTGCGAGGCACCTGTTTTGGCGCATGTGTGTCATGCTTATGCTGTGCCAATGTTGGCTCATGCCAAGCCAGTGTGGGTGGATGCCCTAAAAAGGCCACTTTAATGACCAAAAAACACACTGGTGTCAGCCAGGCTCACATTAACAGACACAAAGTCCCAATATTGCCATGGGATAAAATGCTGTTGGCATGTGCCAATTTGGACATATAAAAATCCACCATATGGACTCATGGCAGTACTCTGTCAGCAAACATCAAATGCTCAATGGCAGGAAAACATTACATAGTTGCAATGTCAAAAGATGCATCATCCAAAGCAAGGAATCCTGTGTTGATGTGTGATCAGACACCATTGGTATTCACTAAACTCGTATTGGTGGGACAACAGAAATCCGTGTTGGCCCATGTCATAGCCTATAATGGCAGATGGAAATAATCCCTCTACCAGCACCTGTGAAACTGCCATTGGTGCATCCCAAACCTGCACTGAAAGCCTTGCAGAAAACTACAAATACACTTTGGAAGTAGTTGCCTTAATAGCCATATAGTTCCCCCTCAAAACTTGCACACACAATTGACTAGCCCAAGAGCACAAAATGAAGCTATAGAGAGTCAGGGTGGGTGAAGTGATATCATTTACTGGATCAACTTCTTTTGGTGTAAGAGACAAGCTTTTGAGATACACAGAGGTCTTCTTCAGACCTGGACCAAGCTCAAAAACTTATCTTTTATTGAACCAGCTTCTGTTGGTGAAAGAGACATCACCTCACCCATCTTGTCACTCTAATATCCTGGGACCAACATAGCTACAACACTGCAAAGTGAAACTATGGCAGAGTTGGGAAGCATCTGCAGGAACCTTAATTTCAGTCCCACCTGCTCTAACCACTAGAAAACAGGCTTCTCCCAGAATTGGGAATAGAACCCAGTAGTCCTGCCTCCCAGACCCTACTGCCTGCACCGAAGAGGGGATAGAAACTAGGAGTCCTGACTCCTAACCACTAGACTCCACTTCTCTCCCACAACTGGAACAGAACCCAGGAATCCTAACTCCCAGCCCCACCCTGCTCTAACACCTTGGTGTTAATACAGGCCAAACCTGCATTAGCACACTATAGACCCCATGTGCATTGACAGAAGTAAAAAGCTGGATCAGCACATACCCAAAAGCTGGGCATCTCTGGCAACTGTGCTACTCTATCACCATTGACATGCACAGGACTCTCCCAATGTGGCTTGTGGACACTATTACAAGAATTAAACTTGGCCCTTCAAAATATTAACTAGACTGGAAGAAATGTCATCTCCTGAAGGGACATGGCCAATTTCTCACATGGGTTGTCCAGAACCCCAAAATGAGGATTGACACTTAGGGTACGTCTATACTTACCCGCTGGTTCGGCGGCAAGCAATCGATCTTCTGGGATCGATTTATCGCGTCTTGTCTAGACGCAATAAATCAATCCCGGAAGTGCTCGCCGTCTCCGCGAGAGGAGTAGGCGGAGTTGACGGGGGAGCCTGCCTGCCGCGTGTGGACCCGCGGTAAGTACCTTTAACTTCGAACTAAGATACTTCGACTTCAGCTACGTTATTCACGTAGCTGAAGTTGCGTATCTTAGTTCGAACTGGGGGCTTAGTGTGGACCAGCCCTTAGAGTTTCCTCAAATAGTCCTTTAAAGTATCCTGTGACCATTTTAGTGGCCAAATGTGGGATTTTGGTTGCCACCACTTTTGAAAATTGGGCCATTTTTTCTTCAGAGACGCAAGAGGCTTCTGAAGAAAAATATCCAACTGGTTATTTTGATGCTGCATAAAAGTGTCAGTGTTTCCACTTCGGCTTTTAGGGTGGAATTTATAAAGCAGCATAAGGGAGTTAGATGCCTGAATCCCATAATTCAATGGGAGTTGGACGCCTAACTCTCTTAGGCCCCTTTGAGAATCCCAGCCCGTATGTTTGTTTTGCTCTATAGGTTTGGTGTGGTGAGTGGCAGATTCCTTTCCACCAGGGGATATTTGTTTTGGAGTCAACACCCTTGCTGTTGGCTCCGTTAAAATGTCTGTGTGTGAGGACATGTTGCTGTGCAATTACCGCAAGTGCCGTGTCAAGCTCTCAGGCTATGCCTGGGTCACGGCTTGCTCACACGTCTTCTGTGACCAGCACGGCAGTGGGGAATTCAGCCGTTCACCAGCAGTCTGTCCTGCCTGCAACAGTGCCCTCTCTGGCAAGCTAGACATTGTCCGCACCGAGCTAAGTCCCTCTGAAGAACACAAGGCCATGGTGTTGGCTGGACTTCGGCCAGAGACTGTGCTGGACATCAGCTCCCGCGCACTCGCCTTCTGGACATACCAGGTAAATCCACCTCAGGTGGGGGATCAGCATGATGTCCTAAGATAGGTAGACACCTTCAAAAGTGTCCCTGAAAATATAATTGGGAAGAGATTTTGTTTGCTAAAGGAATGAAAGATCCAAAAGTCAGTCTTTATGGCTACCTATATCTCATGCATGGAGGGCAGAGCTGACACCTAGGTCACTCCAAAGGGAGGGCCACCGTGCTATATTTTGTGGCCTGAAAACTGTGGAAGGGAGCCAAAGGGAATGGAATAGGATTAAGAAATCCCATTGTTTGGTTTTGTTGTGTGGCCTTGGGACCACGGAGAAGGTTGCCCCTCACTCTCTGGTTCAAAATCACCAGAGTGTGGCATTTGCACTTCTCCCTCCCTCCTTCTCTGTCCAACTGTCAGTGTAAAACATTATTGCTCTATTAGCCATTCCTCTCTTTCTCGTCTGTCACCGTGGAAGTTTCTGTCCATCTTTGCTACACATTCTTTCTTTCCTCACATCACAACAGTATCAAAGCACCTCACAAATATTCATGAATTATCCTCAAGGAGAAGTATGTCTCTATTACTATCTCCATTTTACATGTAGGGAACTGAAGTACGGACATTAAAGCAACATTTTTAAGTGTCCACTAATTTTAGGAGCCTCGCATTTGAGTGCTCAACATGAGACCCATATGACCTGATTTTTAGAGATGCTGTGTGTGACGGGTTGGGTCACAGAAACCCCCTTGGGATTGCCACCTGATGTGCTGAGACTACTTCTGAGCTGGTTTTCCCTGCCAGCTTGGGATTTCAGTAGCCTGTCTTGTTGAGACAGACACGCTATCCTGCTACAAACACAGACCCAGGTCTGAACCACATCCCCAACAAGCTGCAAACTTAACTGAAAACAGCTTAAGTGCTCATTTCTCTAGCACCCAGATACTCAGTTCCCAATGGGATCCAAACCCCAAATAAATCCGTTTCACTCTGTATAAAACTTATACAGGGTAAACTCATAAATTATTTGCCCTCTATAACACTGCTGGAGAGATATGCACAGCTTTTTGCTTCCCCAGGAATTAATTACTTGCTCTAGGTCAATTAATAAACAAAAAGTGATTTTATTAAGTATAATAAGTAGGATTTAAGAGGTTCCAAGTAATAACAGACAGAACAAAGTAAATTACCAAGCAAAATAAAACAAAAACATGCAAGTCTAAGCCTAATACAGTAGGAAACTAAATGCAGGTAAATCTGACCCTCAGAGATGTTCCGATAAGCTTCTTTTACAGACTAAACTCCTTCCTAGTCTGGGTCCAGCAATCACTCCCCCCTCCCCCGTAGTTACTGTCCTTTGTTCCAGTTTCTTTCAAGCATCTCTTTGGGGTGGAGAGGCTATCTTTTGAGCCAGCTGAAGACAAAATGGAGGGGTTTCCAGAGCCTTATATAGTCTTTCTCTTGTGGGTGGAAACCCCTTTGTTCTCCTGTGTAAAATCCCCTCAACAAGATGGAGTTTGCAGTCACCTGGGCAAGTCACATGTCTATGAATGATGCAGCTTTTTGCAGGCCGACACCATTGTTTACATGTTAGTTTGAATGTTCCCAGGAAAGCTCAGATGTGGATTGGCATCTCACAAAATCCACTGTTAGTTAAGTGTTTCTTGATTGGGCACTTACTGAGAATAGTCCTTTACCAAGAAGCTGACCAAATGCTTCACTGAGGCTACTTAGAACCAAACAAGTACATAGTCAATATTCATAACTTTGGATACAAAAATGATACACACATACAGACAGCATAATCATAACCAGCAGACTACAACCTTTCCATAGACACCCCACTTGGCCTCCTTGTACAAGACCTGGTGCAACCATAGGACCCTGGTTGCAACAATGATTTATACAGTCACAGTTTATGTCAATAACATCACACTGTGCACCCCACAGCTCTTATCAGCTTCAGCTGGAGTGTGGAGTGCTCAGCACATCTGAAAATCAGTCCGTAGATGTCTTGTGTTGGCAACTCTAAATTAGTGGTCCCTATTGAGAATATTGACCTAAGTGACTTACCCAAAGTCACTGTGGCAGCAGTGGGAACTGAATCCAGATCTCTTAAGTCCCAGTCCAGTGGCTTAACTTCAGACCATCCTTCCTTTGGTACACTGTAGTCATGCTACTATATCTCAAGTGGAGTGACTTCACTTTCCTTTGACAATCAGTGGTCAAAGAAGCCTGTCACACCTGTCATAATCTCCACATGGCAGGTTCACCAGGAGCGCCTGTACCAGGAATACACCTACAGCAAGGCTGAAGGACACCTGAAGCAGATGGAGAAGGTGTACACCCAGCAGCTGCAGAGCAAGGACATGGAACTGACCTCCATGAAGAGCGAGGTCTCCTCCCTGAAGAAGGTGCTGGAGGAGTACAAGAAGAAGTTCAGCGAGCTCTCTGAGAAGCTCATGGAGCGCAACCGCCAGTACCAGAAGCTCCAGGGCCTCTACGACAGCCTCCGTCTGCGCAACATTGCCGTGGCTAATCAGGAGGCTGCCCACGAGCCTCCCATGATGCCTCAGCCTGCTGTCTTTGGCTTCCCATTGGGTAAGATCTGTGGGGAGTTCTCATTTCACTACTCACAGAGGTTGCAAAAGCTGGCATAAGGAGTCACTACACTGACACTGTTAGTGGAGGGGACAAGGGTTTAATGGGCTATAGAGACTGAACTCTCCCTCCATGCCATAGGGCAGGAGGAGGCACATATGTGTGTGTGTTTGAAGGAGGAGGGCTTCACACAGACCAGTCACTCTCCAAGTGTTGCCATATCAGCAACTTCCCAAGTGCTATGAACAGGGCCGGCTCCAGGCACCAGCCTGGCA